GGCAGAATAGGCAGTGTAGCAGGTTACCAACCACACGTCTCAGGCAGCGACTGTGCCGACCACGGTGGTAGGAGTCCAGGAGGAAGATGTATCGAGCTATGGTGTAGAAGGTGATCACAGAGACAGGGCTATGGAAAGGATGGCGGAGCAACTTCGCCAATTGCAGAAGCGGATGGATGGGAGGCAGTAGAGGCGTGGTCGAGGACATCCACTCTCGAGGGATATCTTGGTCGCACCATTGCCAACAAATTTCAAGGAAATAAACCTTACTTACAATGGATCGACAGACCTGTCGAGGCATGTGAGGGCGTTTGAGAATATGGCTGTCTTACATGGATATTTAGATCCAATTAGTTGTAGGGCTATCCTATCGACCTTGCGGGGAGGTGCACCCGATTGGTTTCACCAACTTTCTCCAGGGTCGATCAGGGATTTCGAGGATCTCGCAAGCAAACTAACCAATCAGTACTCGAGCGCAGTAGCCTAGGAGAAGACATACCTTACATTGATGGCAATGCGACAAGGAGATAAGGAGTCTTTGCGAAAGTACGTTGCTCGATATAATCAGACGTGCCTGGAGATCACAACAGCTTCGAACGAAGTTAAGGCAAGGGGTTGATCTGAAGTCTTCGGGCAGGACCTTGTCGAACATCGTCGGCTAAGTCACCTGCTCGAACTTATGAGGAGGTGTTGAAGAGGTGCAAGAAATACATCAACCTGGAGGAAGCCGATGCAGAGTTCGCTAAGTTAAAGGAGATGGCGAGGCCTGAGCCCAAGAAAGGAGCGACAAACTCGCCCAGGAGAAGTTCACCTAGGAGAGGTCCACCTAGGAGGATATCGCCCAGGAGAGACAGAAGAGGTCTGATGTGAGAGGGGCGCGACGATCGTTGGCGAGATCGACCTATACTACCAGGAGGACAAAGGTACCACAATTTCACACCACTGATTACCAAAATGGGGGAAGTGCTGGTGGCGATGGAGGAAAAATCTTGGAATAATGAGATCACTTAGACAAAGACGAGGTTTGAAGGACCTACCCAACCCAGGTCAAACAAATATTATCGATTTCACCGAGATTATGGGCCATGGAGACTTGCCGGCATTTGAAGGATGAGATCGAGCACCTTATCAGGGCAGGGCACTTGAGAGAGTTTGTTTTTCGTGATCGAGCAAATAGGAAAGAATGGAGGAGGTGTAGAGAGGATTCTGTAACGTCCCGTTCGTTTATTAGAATTTCTAGATTTTTATATTATTATTTATTTGCTAATATTGAATACTTGCCTCATTCTATTTAATTGCTCGTCTTATTTGTCTACTTGATGTAATATGTGATAAGACAAGTATATGTGAATATTATGTGTTTATTGATTATTTATATGTATTAGAATTATTTAGGATTTATTTGATATAAATTTTAAATTGTTTCAGCGATTTTCAGTTTAATCGCGTAAACCGAGTTTAAATCCGCTTCGGTTTGTTTTCGTGCCGTTTCGACCGAACCTCGAATAATAATATTCCGATCCAATTTGAGTTAATTATTTCGGCCTGTTTGAATTAAATTTTCGGCCATTTTGTAGTTTTAAAAACCAGCCCAGATGATGGCCCAATTCTCTTAAGAAAGTCCATCTCATTTTCTTAGCCCAATTAACTTATATCTTTCAACCCTAAATCTCTGAGAAAATTACTCCTTATGTCTAATTTTATTATTTTATTATAATTATACAATACATAATTCATAATTATTTTTATACCATTATTTTTATGTCTTTTACTTGCATCTTTACTTTTTTACGTGTTACTGGACGGTCAGTTTCTTTTAGCAGTTACCAAGTCAGTTTTTTAGTCTTCCCGAGAAATCAGTTTTTCACGTCTCTCTTCGTCTTCCCTTACCGTCTTCAGATTTTTTTTCATTTTTTTGTTCTTCCTTTCGTCTTCATCTTTTCTTTTGTTTTATTTTCAACTTTTTATGTGTAATTTTGGTTTCTTATTATCCTTCATCAAATTATGGTTAGAACCAGGTCTTCTGTTAAAAAAACAAGGCAATTTTTTTGCAAATCTAAATCGAAGAGTGATTTTGTCGATTTAATTGAAGATGTTGATTTTTTGGGCGACGACAGTGATGACAGACGCAAGAAGAAATGGAGGTTTCGAGATGGTGCGGTTCAAAGTTCTAAGCCGTGTGGGAAAACTGCAGTCGTTGAATCTGTATCTGATAAGGAATTTCATCTGGATTTTGTGTCTGATAGTGTGGAAGAGGAGTTGAATCCAAAACAGAAGATGAGAGGAAAGGACAACTCTGAGTTAGTTTCGAAGAAATTCAAAATGAATAACGAGTTTAGGGATTTCGTGGTTCGGGGTAGATGTAAGGCTGTGTTGGGGTCTTCTAAATCTGTTCTGGTTGGTAAGGATGTTAAGGGGAAGCATATTCTGAAAGATGGCGACGAGTTCGTGGAGTTGAAGGTTTCTTAATTTTTTTTGTTTTTGGTGTTCTAATTATTATTTTTTTAATTATGTTATCTTTTATAGCATTAATTAACTGTCACTTCGTAAATTTATATGTGATTATGTATATACACAGTTAGAGATGTTTCTACATATGTGTTACCTAATAAACATAAAAAATTATAATATTTTTTTTTTCGTTGAATGAATATTAGAGTTTGAACTTTTTTCTTAAAACATGAAACGTATGCCTTACTTTTGATTTTCTGTGTTTTAATTAAAGCATATGTAATGTTTTATTGCACTATAATTTTTAATGGACCGAAGCCTTTGCGCGTAGAATACCCATTATCTTACTGTGTATATCAGTCTAAGAGATTGTTTTTACCCCTATTTTTTTGGTAATCTACATATGTAGCAAAGAAAGAAAGAAGATTAAACTCCATTCGTTTTTTAAAAATCTTTTATTCTTTCGGTATGTGTTTGTGTTCATTTTATTTGTATTCAAATTATCTGTGCTATTACAAAGTGATATATATTATTTGTTGGTTCTAAAATTATTTTTTTAATTTTTTTGTTCAGGAATGGGATTTGTTCGTGAATGAGCCTAAGGGTTTTGTTTGCAAATTACCTAATTTCAATCGATATGATACTATTGAATCAATTAGGAGCACGTTGTCTCCTTCTCAACTTGATCTTTTTAGGGCTACATGTTTCGGGAAGTTTGTTGATTTGCCTCGGTGTGTTGTTCAGGGCCAATTGATTAGTTCGGTTTTACTGCGTGAAGTTTATCAGCATAATTCTAATGAGTTGTGGTTTGACATGTGTGGCAAGATCTTAAGGTTTGGTGTTGGTGAATTTTCAATAATTTCTGGTATGAAGTGTACTGGCCAGACAAAAAAATTAGGGTTTGAACAAAAAAAGGGGGGTTATTTGATAAATACTTTGCCTCTTTTGGTACGCTTACGAGGGATACTATAAAAATGCGTTTTCTGTTGCAAAAATGGGATAGTGATAATGATGCAGTGAAATTGGCTATGTTACATTTACTTGCTAACTATCTGATGGGAAATGAGCCAAATGTTTCTGTTGATCGAGCATATCTTGACATTATTGATAGTGATCAGTGCGATGTATATCCATGGGGAAAAGAAATTTTTGACTATTTTATTGTCAATGTCAAGGAGAATTTGTCTTGTAGGAAATTGAGTGACAAGTCTGCTGTTTATTATAAGATGAGGGGTTTCATTATAGTTTTGCAGTGGTGGTTCTATGAGATTTGTGATGAAGCTGTTGGAAATGTGTGCTTAAGAGTGAATGATATGGATCCGTTTATCCCTCGTATGTTGAAATGGAAGGCTGATGTTAGTTTGGACAGGGATTTGGTTATTCGGAGTTTTTTTACTTTGATGCCTGATAAGGTAATTGTGTTCTATATTTTGTATGTTTTTTTGTTTAATACTAATATGAGATTGTTTAAATATCATTTTTTTTTTTTTCAGTTTGTCAACTTACGACCTACTTTACAAGAAATGGAGACTTTGGATATTAGAAGCTTTTTTGAATCACGAAATGAGTTTCTAAGGAATATTGATGTTGGTGTCCGTAAGTGTAATAATGTTAATGAACATAAGGTTGATTCAAGTAAAACCCTGGAGGAAATTATTTCTTTGCAGAAGGAGATGATGGGTGATTTGGCTGATCTTAAGGGTATTTTGTGTGATTTTATGGTTAATGTTATGACTGAACTAAATCAAATCAAGATGAAATTCATGGTATGCATTTNNTTTTTTTTTTTTTTTTAACAATTTTATTTATTTTTTTAGGTAAGGAAAAGTGTGCACTCAGATCATGATGTTGGAGTTGATATTGGTGTTTCTGATGACGTCGACGATGTTGATAAGAATTTTGCTCCCAATTGTGTTGAAAATACTGTAAAGGGAGATTCGTCAAATGTGAGGCGAGCAAATCTTGGTAATTATTAATTACTATATATATTTATTAATTAAATCTATTTTTTAAAAATATATAATTTTTATTCATTTTTTTCTTTTTCTTTTAGGGAGATCATAATGAGGATCTGTCTGCTTCTTCAACTGATGAGATGGTGATTTTGTTTTCTAAATATGGATTTATTATTATTCATTTTTGCTATGTGATAAATTATCATGTTGTTTTGTTTTTATCAGGTATGTCAAGGTGAAGATGATCATCTTGTGATGGTAATGGTTTTTATATTTATATTATTTTATACATTTCTTACATTTTTAATTTTATTTTTGTTTTTTAATTATTTTTCAGGATGTATTAGCATCAGAAGAAGGTGAAGCTGTAGTTTACACGGTATCTTTATGTAATTTTTGTTTCTTAACTTGTTATTAATTGTTCATTTGATATATTATTTCATTTATAACTTTATTTGTATGTCTTTTTTTAATAGGGGGTGGATGATGATGTTTGTGTTGACTATACAATTTCTTTGAAAGTAAGTATGTTTTTATTTTATGTATTTTCTTTACTTTTTTTGTTTTTATTTTTATGTTTGAAGTTTGTAATTTATGTATTTTGTTATGAAGGAACCAGACCATGTTAATGAAAAAGATTGTGTTGGTGATAAGCATGTTGGAAATTTGGTACGCAATTTTTTCTTTTGTTTGTAAATGTTTTTTACTAAATGACATAAAAATCTGTTTGTATTCATGTCGTATCTAAACTTAAAAGTAAGTCATGGTTTTTTAGTTTTTATTTTTATAGTTTTTTCTTATATGTTTTATTTTTTGTAAAATATATTATTTATCTTAGACAGGAATCTGAATTTGTTGCTGTAAAGCTTTTTAGTGGGAAAGGAGTTGGTAATCAGGCACTTGTGAAGGTTGCTGATAAGAGTAAGATTGCTGAAGATGGGGTTGGACATGTTCTATCCAATACGGGTGCTGAAAAGGTTATTTGTGGTGTTGAAGAAGTTACAAATATGGTATGTGTTTTTCATTTTTTTTCATAANTATTTTTGGGGAAGAAGGGATTGGGAAATTGCCTTCTGAAACCTTTGTTGACAAGGTTGTTTGTGGTGATTGGGAGGGTCCAAATATGGTTTTTTTTTTTCTTGTTCAATATGCTATTTTTTTAATATTCATTACTATATCCTTCTATTCTTTATGTTTGTAGATATATATTTACCTTTTTTTACAGGGAGATGGTCAGACTATTCCTATATGTGTTGATGATGCTTTAATTAAATCAAAAGTAAGTTTCTTTGATTTTGTACGGTTTATTTAGTTGTTTTCCATTTTTTTTCTTTTTATTTTATTTTATTTTATTTTATGGTAAAGGATTGTGAAAGTGATGCTGAGAAGGATTTTTGTGGTGATAAAGTGGTGGGAAATCCTGAGTTAGCGGAAGATATTGATGGTTTTGGTTTTGTTATCACTTCTGAAATGTTTGATGAATGTCTAAAGGTTGTTGATGAGAAGATTCGCTCTGATGCATTTGCAGCAGCACAAAAGGTTTTGTATGTTATATTTTATTAAATACTTTTAATTTTGATGTTTTTATAAGTTTTATTTTTTATTTTTTTTGTTTCTTAGGCTAAAGTTAAGGATGCATCAGTTAATAAAAGACATGGTTGTCCAAAACCTCTTGGTTGGGAAGTTGGAAAATTGTCTCCTATCCAGGAGCATGTTGTTGTATCTACTCCGTCGCTTGATGCAATTACTGACGGGTTGCCTCCAACACAGCCTGAGGTGGTTCATTATATTGTCAATACTGAAATTGTTCTAATTGTTTTTTTTTTGGTATTATATAGGATTTAATTAAGTTAAAGATTATTTATAACAATGTTTTCTTCATACTAGGATGTGGATCCAACAATGTCAGACCCTCTTGTTATGCCTCACTTTTACAACAATGAAATGGTCAGCTTTTTTTTTTTTTTATTTNACGAATACTAGTTGTTTTTTATAATGTTTTTTTTTTTTATTACAATATAGGCTGTTGATCCGTTAGTTTCAGATCCTGATGTGAATCCTCATGTCGTCAGCTTTCGGACGGTTAGAGTAATTTTTATTTATTAAACTTATTGTTTGTATATATATAACGCATATAGTCATATATATGCGTTATCTTATTTTTTTACAATTGTATTTTGTTGTATATCTTATGAACTTTTTATAAACTAGGTTTTTCAATCGAGCGATTCCGATGCTACAATTACAATGTTGACTTGTGACGTCTCTGGTGATCTTATCAATGTAATGTTATTCATTATGTGTTTTGTTTGCATTATTTCAACATTTTTATTTTTTAGTTTATTGATAGTTGAATATTTGTTTTTCATTTTGTTAGGACAACATAAATCAAGATGTTCCAACGGATAAGGTTGATGCCATTGTCAAAAAAATTGATAAGATTCCAAGTGTTAGCAAGACTAAGGTGTTGTCCCGAAGGAAGAAAAAGGTTACTGGTACATGTCCATTTGAAGATGACTTTTGGCTGGAATATGATATTAATGCAACTGATTTTCATAAGTGGTTGTTAACTGGGTTGTTGGCTTGTCCTAAGAATTCCGATGCTGGGTAAATTTTCATTCTATGTTATGTTAATCTTCAATAATATTTCTATTTATTTCTTGAACCATTAATTACTTGTTTTTCAGATTGTCATATTATCATTATACATCAGCTGTTCTTAAACCTTTCTTCGACTTCAATGTTGTCAATGTGGAATATAAAGACTGGTTTTACAAGTTGGACAGGTGTAACACATGCCTTGAATCTTCGGTGGGTTTCTATAAATTCTTTTTATTATTTTTTTTTATATAAATATCTGCTGATGGGTTTTTTTTTCTATGCAGCATATGGATGTCTTTTTTTACTATTTTAGAAAGATGGCATTTCACACGTTGAGTATGGTTGCATTGCGATTTACGACTACAAATATGTTTTTTGATCAGTGGATTAAAAGTGTTTATCAGAAATTTTATCAGGGTCATGATATAAACCATCTTGTGATTATGCGGAGTGGTATTGTGGATTATATGCTTGGTTTTAAGATTAGTTGTGGATTACCTTGGGACAAGGTTGATCATGTTTTGATTCCAATTAACATGAAAATCAATGGAGTCGGTCTTGGATTCTTGGTAGGATTGCTTTGAAGGAGAGATGTTTTTATGTTTACAATAGTGTTAGATCCCTTGTGATTGATGCTGTTGTTGGCGAGGCAGTGATTTGTTATAGGATTATGTTTTCTAGATTTCTAAATTTGATTTGTGCCTCCAAAGATAAAGATTCAGTGGGGACTTTAGGTCCTTATGTGGGATTTGGTGGTGGTGATCCGCTTTCTATCTCTATGGTTGATGGGCTTCCACTTCAAGAGGAGGAAGGGTATGTCTTTTTTTGTTTTATTTTAGTATTTATTTGTGTTTTTATTTTATAATTTTTTATTTTAATTTATGCTTTGGTTATATTTTTCTTTTTTGTAGTGATTGTGGTGTATTTGTTGCTTGCTATGCCGAGAGTTTTATAAGAGGTATGCGTGTGCCTCCGGTGCCTTTTGATGTGGGGTTGCATAGGAAGAGATATGCTTTTTCGTTGTACAAGCATGGAAGGAAGAAGTTATTGTCTGGTTATAAAAGCGAAGATGCACCTGTTGGATCGTAGACATTTTTTGAACGCAAACTGATGTTGATAAATTGAACTCTGTTTTATTTTTTAAGTAGTTCGAGATGTATGATTTTTTTATATTTTTTTTTTTGGATTGGTAATTATGTTGTTTTAATTTTTTTAACCTATTTATTCATTTAAAATTAGGAAGTTTGTGTTGGGAAGTAAATTGTTTGTTTTTTTGTTTTCTAAGGTAGGTTGTTTAATTCTTTTTATCATTAGTCATGTTATAATTCGTTCTTATCATTAGTATAAGCTTCAGACGGATGTGCCCAAATTCCCTTTTAATGGAGCTAAAATACACAAACATTCTAGATAACATCACTTAAATAAACCATAATTCTCAAAATTACAAATAATTCAAATGAACTATACATTGTCCAGTCTTAAGTCCCAAATGAACTATGTTGCAAAATTATTGTTACTACTTGTGGGACTTGTGAGTATATCCAGGGGCAGCATATCCATAGGTCCCCATGACTCTAGTGGAGACGTGTATTTTATCACCGGTTGGCTCATCCCTCGCAAGAAATTTATGTTTTTCCTTGTTATCTACAAATTATCAAGGTTAAATGTTATTTTATTTTACTTATCTACATTTACGTTTATATGATGGTTATTCTTGTTCATTTTTTATGCCATAAGATTTGTATACATATGTATGTGTATAATATACAAAATCTGTATAATAATTTGTATATTATACATAGGAAACAATTCTAAATAATACATAAACAAAAGTAAATACCACTTAAACATAAGAAATTTATGTTTTTCCTTTCTCATACATATTAGTTAAATTTGAAAAAAAAAAAAAACAAACAAACAAACAAATGTCTAGTGTTTGACTCATTAATCATAAGTCAATTTGATATGTTCTCTCTCTTTTTTCTACTTGAACTACTGCATCCTTTCTCCCAACTAGATAAGAACCTCTTCTTTTTTTGCCTTCCAGTAAGTGACACCTGAGGTGGTGGTATGAGGTTTGCATCTTGGTTGGTTGGAGGTGTCATTGTAGATGCATAGTCAACTGGGTATACTACTTCTGAATATGTTGCCAACATTGTCTCTGTATAGTAATACTTTGAACAATATGGCTCGGGATCTTCGTGGTTTCCTCGTATGACACATGATGCATGTGGGCATGGGAGTTCATCCTTTTGGAATCGATTGCAAGAACAACTCTTATTTTTCATATCAACAACAAACACCTTCGTACCATTTGATACTCGGTATATGGTGTCACTTGCCTTTTGCACCTGCATTTTTGTTAATACAAATAATTTTATGTATATATTGTTATTTAAATGATGGTAGTTGAATAGTGTACATACTGTTAGATGCATGGATGCTTTGTAATTTTCCATCAACATGTTGTTCCCCAGCTGTGCAAGTTTGGTAAATGTCCCTTCTGCTTCTTCTCTGTTTTTGACATTCCATTTTTGTTGCATCCCTCTTAAACTCTCAAGTAGCAAAGTTATTGGCATCTCTCTTGCAATCTTCATGTTGGAGTTTATTGATTCAGCAGCATTTGATGTCATGGTTAAAAAACGGTTTCCTTTGCAATGAACTCGCGACCACCTTTCAAAGCCAACATCTTTTTCTAAATATTTATTTACACGACTATCTGCATTCCTCATTGCAGTCATGTGCTTCTCAAATTCATCAGGTGTATATGATCGAGCTGCAGCCATGAATGCCTGTTTTACGGCCTCTGTGTTTTTTTTGAATTTCGTAACAATGTTTTTCGACAAGTGGTAGATGCAGTTGCAGTGTGTTTCCCCTGTAAAGACCTGAATAATTTTTTTTCACCAGGTCAAATTTTAATATATTAATTTTCAATATTTGTATAACAGAATATAAAAAATATATTTTACTTTTTTTCTCTCTTTTTTGCACAACTGGTATTTATACTGTATTTACTTTGGTTTTTTAAACTACAGTCTTCAATTTTCAACGCCCCATTCTTTTTTTTTCATTGCCCATATATATTTCTTCTTTCCTCTTCAATCAACGATCTACTACTCCCTCAACATATCAGATGTCCATGCTTTGATTCAAAATCCCTAGCTAGTGATGAATCTCCAGGCTTGATGTAATTAACCTAAATTTTACCTTTCCTCTCCTAATCATCTCTAATTGTCCAGAAGCATTTCGAGAAAAAGATAATGAAACACTGGCTTTTAGAGCGTCAGGTACAAAGGTAAAATTCGATTTATTGTGCTTTTTTTGTGGGTTAACGAGTTTTAAGGTTTTTTTAATTTTTGATATTCCTGATTTTTTTTTTTTAATGTAAAGACTCAATCTTTATTGTGGGCAGGCCAAATTTTATATGTTTCTATGCATTTGATTTGTTAATGTTATATTCAAGATTCTTCTTTTCATGTGGACTTCTTGATTAGCTTAATGAGAAGATGAAGATAACTGTGTCAGTGTGAAATATGGGGAATTGATTATTTTAAGTTCTCATAAAATTTTCATCATGAGTAATATCAAGCTAGTAATTTTAAAATTTTTACATTTTATATTTATTATTTACTTTAATAAAATATATAAAAAAAATGCGTAATTTTTGGTTTGTTTTGTTTACCTTTTCGACGGCGTGCTTTATGGAGGCATGTTTGTCTGATATTATACATAATCCTGCGCGTTCCGACAGAGTTGTTTTCAGGTGGATGAAAAACCATTCATATGCTTTGTTCTTTTCGGAATCAACAACACCGTATGCTAGGGGCAATATGTGGCCTGATGCGTCCTGTGTACATGCTGTTATAAGAGTTCCTCCATAAGCAGACTTTAGGAAAGTTCCATCAACAATAATTAATGGTCGGCAATGTTCCCATCCTTTGATTGATGCTTTAAGTGCAATGAAAACATATTCGAATATGTTGTCTGCTGTTTTTCGCAGCTTTACAACTGACCCCGGGTTGCTCTTGCGTAGCTCTTCAAGGTATCCAGTTATTAATTGGTAAGACCCATATGGGTTGCCTTGTGCAGATTCTAAGGCTTTTCTTCTTGCTTCCCATGCTCTTTTGTACGGTAAATCAACCCCGTACTCTTGTTGCATATCCCGGATTACATCGGCTGGTGTATAGTGTGTCTTTAGATTAGCAAACTTTTTTTTATGCATTCTCCCACTAAGTTTGCAGTAGCTTGCCGTTTTCCAAGTGCACATGAGTGAATATCATTAATCTGACGTACTTTGAACATTGAAGATTCACCAACATATGATGCTTTCATAAACCAAGGACATGTACCATCAATGCATTTAATGGAGTACTGCTTTGGACAAGATTTCACAACACCAAACTGGAAATGATGTTCAATTGCGTACATGCTTACTTTGTGTTTAAGCTCTGCCTTGTCCATATATGTTTGTCCCTTCACAATGAGACACATTGCTGCTGTTTGCTCCTGATATCTGTGACTCTGAGTTGCTGGACATCATTTTTTGCATTTTTTCCTCTGCATAAACTGCCAATGTGGAAGAATAATTTTCTGCAACATCCTCTACACGTGATGACTCCTCATTTTCCTTGTAACCTCTTGAGTTTGGCATCATTTGAAGTGACTCTATTCTGTTTGTGTAGGGTGCTGCAACAATTTTTCTATTCATAATTGGAAGCGCAAGGATCGAGCTCTCTTTTTGCAGATTTACACAAATTGGGTAGCGAGTACATTCGGTTTCTCGTTTTTTCAATTCTTTATAAAAATTGAAACTTAGGTCATCAGTGATGGCTATTGGCGGGTACGTGTCGCTAACTTGGTATTTCAAAATAAATTTATCGAACGGTGTTTCCAGTTGTATCGTTTCTGCGATGACTTCTAGCAATTGCTTGAATGTATAGTCATCTTCAAGCATAATTCCGTGAGCTTTGTACCCAGTATAATCTTTATCACTTTGTCACTCGCCATTGTAGTTGATGAAAGCCAGAAATGGAGGCATTTTCTCTGCAAATTGTGTGAGGTACATTAATATAATTATACACAATTTACTCAACATACATACACAAATTATATTTTTCTGAAATTGATCACCAGTGGAAATGATCTGGTCCTGATATCCAAATAGATATATAGCAGTCACAGAAGGAACATTAAATTTTCATTTATTGCTGCTGTTTTGTATTAAAAAGGTCCTTCATCTTTCTCTATGTGATGCCTTTCTCATATTATGCAGAAAGAAGAATTTCAGCATACTGCTTATGCCATGAATGCTTATGTCACTATAGGACCTTTGGCCAAGCAAGTTTTACATGGTAAGAATGTTAGTCTTGATTTCTGAAATTGATCACCATTGAGATTTAATCAGTTTAGTTATTCCAAATTATTTTCCATGGCTAATGTGTCAGCTATAATATAGGTTTATGATATAAAGAAGAAATAAAAAAAAAAGGTGGGATCTTGAAAAGGAGCTCTCTGCTTCAATCTTTTCGTTCCTCTTATTGCATTCTAAGAAATATTCTCCTTAGGAGCAACAGTCGATCTCCAGTTATACAGCGTGGTACTGGGTTAAAACTATTGGAATTGCTGAACGTCATTGTATATAAAGTTAATAAAACCAAAAGAACTAGAAGCTATTCAATCAAGTTTTATATACCTTGTCAATGGAGAACACAATTTGGCTGCCACAATCTTGAAATCTGATTAATCAGATATCAAGTTTCTGATTATTGTTCGTTTCCTCTTTCTCTATTTTTTTTTTCAGCTTTTGTATGTAGTGGTGTTTTGTTTCTGAAAGTGTAAGTTTTTTTTTTGTGGTTTTTTGTTTGCAGGGAAAGGTGTTGGACGGTCAGTTTTTCTAAAGTTGGTTTTTTGTCTTCTTCAGAATATATGGAACATGATGCATCTGTGCGGTTTTACTTTTTTCAGTTTTTGTTAAGTCACGTATTATTATAAACTACCATTGTCTTTTTATAAAAAGTGTGCTGTATTTGTCTTTTTGTAATAATTATCTTAAATAGTGGGTAGTTATATAATTTTGGCCATGATGCATCTGTGCGGTTTTACTTTTTTTCAGTTTTTGTAAAGTCACGTATTATTATAAACTACCATTGTCTTTTTATAAAAAGTGTGCTGTATTTGTCTTTTTGTAATAATTATCTTAAATAGTGGGTAGTTATATAATTTTGCCAAATCCTCTCAGACCAGCATTACATATCGAGAAATATAAATCCCAAATCTCGTCTCTCGTTATCGCCTCTCATCCCAAATATTCATCTTCTTTCTGCCAATGATTCTTGAGTGGCAGAGCAGAGAAATTCCTTCGCAATATTCTTCTTTGTGTGCGTCCTTCGCCATCAATCACCATCGCTGAGATAACCCGTCCCTCCGTCAGGAATGGCGAAGCAACAGCCGAGACCAGAAATCCTTCGCCCCAAAATTTCAAATTTGCAATCGCCGTTTCAGATTTCTAACCGCCGATTAATCCAGCCCTCTTCGTCAAATCGCGGGTCGTCAATCCTGTCGGAGAAGAGAACAGTGGCCATCGCAGCACTTGAACCCGCCAATGTCCGGCCCGTCACGTCGTTCAGCCGTTCATAGTCGAGAGACTGTTTTCATCTGTTTCAGCGAGCAGCTTTAGCAGACGGCAACCAGGGGTCGTTCGCGAGAGTCGTCATCTCCGAGAGTCCGCAGCAAACCTGTCCGTTCATCGAGTTTCAGCCACCGACGTCCTCTCCAAGTTCCAAGTAGCGGATGCTTCGAGTTTCTTCCAGCGAACAGTAGCAGATGGAATGCCGTTTAGCGGGCAGGCCGCCGTCATCGTTTCAGCCGATGACCCCCGACCACGTCAACCTTCTTCAGCAGCGGCCAATTTCTTTTTCATTTCTCCCCGCCGGTGATGTCGAGCAGCCCCGTTCGAAAGAAATCCTTTGCCGGTATCTTTTCGAGCAGCCCGTATGGGCGAGGGGAGCCCGAAACAGTAGCGGCAACCTTTCGGGCCCGTGGGGGAAGAGCAGCGGCAGTCCCGTTTATGTCCGAGCGTGTCGAGCCGAGTCTGAAAGATTCTGTTCCTTGTCCCACAGTCCGTGTGTATTCGAGTAGTAGGGTAAATTTCGAACCCCACCTTTAATCTTTGTGCTGTCGTCTGATGTTAATGAAAGTTTGCTTGATTGTTGGAATTCTGTGTCTCGTGGCAGTGGCTACTTCATAGCTAGTATTTCTATAAATTAAAGATTCAAAATGTGATGGCTCCAAGCATAAATTAGTTCTTGCCGCAAGCCCTTTTCTTATATACTGCATTTGTGTGAACTTGTAATCTTAGTCATTTTCAAAGTTTAACTTAACAAGGGGGCCTGTATTAGTTGGCCATCGGTGGAAAAATATAACTTTAACTTTGTGAAATTGCTGAGCATGTAATATTGTTATAACCTTATACTTTAATGCTTGGTTTGGTTGTACCATTTCCGTGAATTGTGTTGATTTTCATAATGCGTATAGCATGCTGTGTTGTGTCCTCATTATGATATGTTCTTGGTGTTATGTACTCATTTGCTTTTCATGTTATGAGGCTTGTTAATGTGAATTGTATGCTGAAAGTTTTAAGAGTTTTACATGCTGTATAAGTGTCAAATTACCAAGACCACGTACTTTTATAAAGTCCATAAGTATGTTGATGTTTTGGAAAAAGAAAAGAAGCTTTATGGTGTATGTTAATTGAGCTGTGGACTTGCCATGTTTATTGAAGTTTATTCATGCCTTTGTTGCTGAGTATATGCATGTTGTATTAGATTAATAAATTCTGTTTAAGGCCATGCTACTTGCGGATAAAAATGTGAGAAAGGAAAGATGAGAAGATGGCATGTGTTTGAATAATGTTTTGAGTTGTGTGTTAAGTACATGTTTTGCTAAGCTTTGAGTAGTAAAATTTATATACTGCTTATATGCTTTTAGTGCTCAAATGAAGAATTATATGCTCAATTATTTTTAGACTTCTTGTTGAGTGATTTTCTTAGAAAAAGAGAAGGAAATGAGTTGAATTGAGGTTTTGTTCAGGTGCTGCATGTTTTATTTCTTTGAACTATTTAAAGTGTTGCATGGCTATTTGTTTGAGGTTGTGCTACTTGTAATTTTTTTTTTGTTCAGGGAATGGATTTTGATTTTAGAACTACCAAAACTTTTATAAATTGTTGAAATATATATATATATATATATATATATATATATGAGTTCATATTTCTGTTGGTTTGGCCTTATTATTTGTTATGCTTCCGCATTTATGAATTGGTCTTGTGATTATGAACTTGGGTTATTATTGCTTTTTATGAATTTCAGATTTTATGACCGAATAATGTTAAGGAGATGCTCCTTAGAATTTATGAATATTGCTGGAACTCGATTTGGGTGATGATTTATGAAATTTTGGAAAACCCGTTTTTGGGAGTTAGTATTATTGATTGATGATTGAGTATTGAAAAATTGGTTAAGTATTGAAGTTCGATTTAAAAAGGGGTAGCGCCTCACGTGTTTCGAAATAAATTTGAAAAATTTATTCGGATTTTCGGCAAATAAAAGTGGAGCGTTACAGATTCAGTAGGGAGGAGTGGATGATGAGGAGGATGAGGCTCGAGAGGAGAGGGGTGGTCGAGGAGGTAATGGGGATAAGAGGAGGCGCAGTAATGGAGGTAAGGGGGAGCAGAGGGGTGAAATGCCCATGAAGAGGGTCACAATTTACGTTATTTCAGGAGGACCAACAGATGGGGACTCAAAAAACGCAAAGAAGGAGCATACTTGAGCAGTTAAGCGAAAAAGATAAGGAGCATATTCGATGTGAATAGGGTGTTTATCAATACGGAGAGTTCGGTCGATGTGATGTTTTATGACTGATTCACCCAGATTAATAAACATTTGAATGTGGAGTTAAAGCCTGTGGCGATGACTTTGTACGAGTTTAATGGAGGGAAAGTAATGTTGATGGGGGTAGTGAGTTTGACGGTTGCGTTAGGTTCGGGTGAGATCAGGAAAGTGAGGATGATAAGGTTTGTGATGGTTGGAGCGGAATCGTCGTATAACATTATCTTGGGGAGGCCTAGTTTGAATGCTTTCCAGGCAGTGGTGTCGACATACCACATGACGATCAAATATCGAGTGGGTGAAAACGTGGGCGAGATTGCCAGAGACCAACTTACCTCAAGGAGTTGTTATCAAACCACGGTAACCAACGACAAACAGTTGGTGAAGAAGCAAACGAAGTCGAATGAGGAGGTGTTGGTTCGACTGGGGAGTTCACGATCGAAGCATGATACGGATAAGTGGACAAGGGGAAAGGGAAGGTGGATATGCAGCCTGGTGGGGAGATCGAGGAAGTCCAGATGGTGCAAAGTTTCGATGAGCGTGAACTCAGAATTGGCAAGGAGCTGGAGGAGCCAATAAGAACAAGGCTGATCGAGTTGATAAGGGAGTACACGGACATTTTTGCTTACACCGCGGAGGAGCTGACGGGGATAGATGCAAGGGTTATCGAGCATAGGCAGAACATCGACCTCAGTGTAAGGCCGGTGAAGCAGAAGAGGAGGCATCACGGCGCAGAGATGGATAAGGTGATCGAGAAGGATGTAGAGAAGTTGTTGAAAGCAGGCTATATCAAAGAAATTCAATATCCCGAGTGGTTGTGCAATACAGTGATGGTGTCAAAATCGGAGGGCAAATAGAGGATGTGTATCGATTTTCGTGATCTAAACAAGGCGCGCCCAAAATATTTGTACCCGTTGTCGAGGATCGACCAGCTCATAGACTCTACCGCCGGGTGCGAATTGCTCAGCTTAATGGATGCATCTCAGGGTTACCACCAGATCCTTGCGGAATCTGGAAAAAAATCAACTAAAAACTTCAAAGCAGAGGAATTGTATGGTATTTTCGAAACAGAAACGAGGAAGTGAGAAGGGATGTTATGGAAACAAGAGGGGATTTGAGAAATTTAGGTCTGAAACGGGCATCTCAAGAAAAAGAAA